TCGGGGGCTCTTTTTGTCATGTTTTCGGGGGCGAAATCGCCCGCCGCCCCCGTGTATTTTTTCCCCTGGCGGGTTGACAACGGACTTGGCGGGTATCTGCCTCACCCCCCTAAAATTTCTCAACGAATCTACACGAATTGGAATACCCATCAAATTAGAATATAAATCGGCGGATTTCCGCCATTTGGCGGGACATTCACACCCCTGAATATTAAAATGTCAAAGACTCAAGAGAAGTATAGGTCCTTACAACATTGACCAAACCAAATATTTTCATACACTGTCGGACGGGACATGTGTTATTTCAATTCTGTTAATGCCATAACAATTTTATTGTCATGTCCAAAGGACTAAACCATAGTCCAATGCCAATCGATGATGTGTTGCGTCTCTTGAGAAGCATTTGTGGATTTCACAAAATGTTCCAGCCATCTCATGAAGAGCTTTGCAGCAGTCCACCCACCTGGATTGGCATATCCAATTGATTGAGGCACTGCCCCTGTTGTGTTATGTTGTTGCGTGTCTTGTTTATACTGTTCTGATTAACATAACACAAATAAATGAACTAAAATGCTTGTTCTGAATGTTTATTGCGTACCCTTTCTTCTTTGAGCCACTTTATATAGAAACGCATGCGCGCAATCATATAGTTGGTATCACAACAGCCCCGGTCATCAATACTTCTGCCATATTTTAATTGGAAAAATAAATATTGGAGGCATGTATACACCGGCGGCATTCATTGCACAGCTAAGTGTGACCGTTTTCCCCCGTTCTCCGCTGGTCAGTTTGGCCACTTGCGGGAATTTCTTTGGATTAACTGAACGTTGTTTATAAAAAATGAAAATACCACGGAAACTGGGTGATGAGTTGAAATGACATTTAAGCACATTTTCTGCACATTTGCGTCATAGTTAAACTGACCATAGTTTCGCTGTACTATTACTCATGAAACTCTGAAGCAGTTTCTTACAGAAAGCACACAGGAACACTACACTGGGTACTGGGTACTTGATTCTTGTTTTGTCCGAACAACCTTCATTTCGGCACCTCGCTGCATTCTTCAGATGGACAGCTACTGGAAGGTGCTTTCAAGATTTTCCCCTCATTGCAGTTAATGGAAGAGCAGTGCATCACTGTCTAGACCAGAAGAATAAAATCGTTTACTGTAGCTGTTACTTGTCGCTGTCCCACTGTCGGAGGGCTGTCACCTGCAGGAATTCCATTCTTTATCCAACTACCCAATGCATCATGCCATTGCCCCAAGGTGCACCGAGTAGCATGACTTCGGTTGTATAGGGTGCAATGTTTGACTATTAAAAATTGACTCTCAGTCTCAAGTCACAACCAGTGCATAGATAGCACCTAACAGATCAGCATAAGACATACTGCTGGTCTGCTAGTATGGTAGTGGAAGTTGAGATGTATAGAAGTAATCAGTATATGTCTAATCTTAAAGATAGATTATACATGAACCAGCTCTGATGACCACATTTCTATAGATAAATTCGTTTATAAGATCCGTTCATGAAAGTGATTGTGTAAATCGAAAATGGTACAGTCCTGTTCAGAAAGAATCTCCCTGCAGTGACTGCATGTGCACCGTGGCACCACATCTGTCGATGGCTCTGGATGACAGCAAACGTTTAACATTCTGGTGCAAGGTACACACACACAGAATGGGTTTCTCTGGCTCCAACAGTAATACACTCCTCACACTCACATTACTTGACCTACTGTGTGTGTGTGTGTGTGTGTGCGCGCGCGCGTGCGTGCGTGCGTGCGTCTTGTGTATATATTATGTGTTATATACGCAGCTGATGCACGGTCAAGTAACTGACTATATAACTCATTTCTCTTCCTAACGACCTTGCCTATTTCATTGTCATTTAAGACGGTTATCGTGATAGTAAGACGGACAAATGTGACATGGGTTTCTCGGCTGACATTTGTTTAGATCCGGGAAATTGGCCACACTAACACCGGCCGCCGTCAGTATATGGTATATTAATCAGCCACAGGCACGCGCACACACATGGGCGTATGGGGACTCTTTGGTTAAGGGGGAGCAGAGGGGTTGATTTGCCCGAAATCTTGTGCTTTCTCTGTCGCATTTGATTTCTTCTTGCTTTGGCCGTATTTTCCCACTGTTTTGTATGAATTTGGGAGGGCAGTTCCCCCCCCCCGGGTCGTACATCTATGCGCACACAGACAGACACACACACACACACATTCTGTGTTGTGTTCTGTTTCATATAGAAACTCAAGAAAATACTCGACAAAGTTTGTTTGACAGTTCTTTCAAACCAAGTATATTAATTGGAACAAAGTCAACATGATACAGCTAACAACTAGGTTACAAATTGCAACAATATGAAACTATACACTCACACATGCACGCACACACGCACGCACGCACACACGCACGCACGCACACACTCAACTTCCAAATACATCAGATAACTAGCAAGCCGAATACTACAGCCCTAGACGGACAGCAGCATGCAATGCCTGACACACAAATGAGGACACTCACACCAATCAGCCAGCTGACGCACAGGTAATCACGCAGAAGCAAGAACAACTGCCAGATGCGCTGCGGGAACACAAGACGAAGCAACACAAACATTCCGTGCTCAATTTTTACGAAATCAAGAAAGCACAGCGAACATATGCACAACTGCAAAACACTGTACGAGCACATACAGAGCCCAACACCACTACTACGCATTTCCGCATTCTAAACAACTATATTATTTGTGAAGCCGGATTGCTGCATCATGTTACACCACCCACAAAGGATTACGCCACCGGCATCTAATTGCTTATAGCACAGCTATTTACAAAGGACATGATTATAGCATTGCATCTTGACATCTACAATGGTCATCGGGCAATTTATAAGACGTACAGTTCAATCGGCAGAAGAAACAACGAACAAGTCACAATGCTGTCATAGTTTGAGCGATAGTGCAATTCTATTCACTACAATGTGCTCACTTCACATACTGCAACTTCTAGTTCTGTTTTTACATGCTCATGTAGCAACATGATTTCATTGATCAAGCGTTTCTGCTCACGCTCGAGCTGCAAGACAGTTTTGAAAGTCATTGCAAGACACGTGTATTGCTGCGTATATTTAACTATTGCTGTGTAGCAACTCGGCAAGCTGTCCTGCATGTTTTCTGCATCGAACCCATACTCATACAAAATGCAATACACTAGCAGACCCTCAACTGCACTAAACCCTACAGTACGAGCAACCTCTTGTAGATTTGCTAAATGTTCAACTATTGGTTGTCTGTTAAGTCAGTGCTATTCAACCTTTTTTGAACTTGTTCACCCCTAGCGACTCGACTTCCGGAGTCATTCACCCCACTATCCCATTATCCAATTATTTTTATTACTTTCGAAACTGCAATGCATAACTAAGTCCTAACCCAGTACTGTCCTAACCTAACCTAACCATACAAACTAATGTGATGGCTGTTGTTGTATGCTGTCCGCGATTTTGTCAAATCTGGGCTCGAGTTCTAATAACGCCCCTTTCATGAGCATGTCCACGTCTTCAATTGAAGCTCGCTGCTTGGTCTTGATGCCCGCCATGGATGAAAATCCTTTTTCGCAAAGGCAGGAGCTGGGCATTGCTACGAGGGCGCTTACAGCTTCTTCAGCGATTTGCTGGTACTCGGGGATGCGTAGCAGAAGTCACTGTATGTCTCAAACGTTCCGAAGTTAACCTTTTGGACGAGGTCGGTCTGCAGTTCGCACAATCTTTCGTCTTCCTCAGCCACAAAGGGATTGATTATCCACAGCTTTTCGGCAATTCTCTGCTTTTCTTCTTAGGGAAAGTATTTGATGAAATTCAATTGAAGCAGTGTGAGGTGTTTGACCACCAATCTTGTCACTACTTGCTGCAACGACTCCTCTTCATTCTCCATCACTCACCAGTTGGATCCTCGCATGAAAGTCTGTAGCTCAGGAAATTCCGAAAAATCGACATTCTCAGCTCTCTTGTTTCCATTGTTCGATCTTTCTTTCGAAGCCTTGTACCGTGGAAATCATAATGAACACGTCGTCGCCATTTCCTTGGAGTTCAAGGTTCAACTTGTTCAGGTGGCCGAAGACAGTCAAATAGGCCAGCCTGGAAACCCAAAAGTCATCTTGAAACAGCACAGCTTTCTCGTCTGCTTGCTCCGTGAAAAATACTGTCAATTCTTCTCTCAAAGCCTATATATTTACTATTATATTATTATTTGATAAGTTATGCACAGTGGCTTTTATAATCCTCCACAGTCTGAGCCGGAGTAAAGCTCCTCAGTGCTTAACACTGAATGCGTATATTAGACGGTGCTAATACATAGGCAGTATAGTCCTCCACAATTTGAGCCGGAGTAAAGCTCCTCGGTATCCCACTGAGTGCGTGTATTACACGGGGTCAATACAGTGGCAGTAGTGACGACTAGAACAATACAGTGGTAAAAGTCGGATCACTACTCCATACGATTACGGTGGTAACCGTGAGAGGTAGGTTGAGCTCCAACTAGAAAAAAAATGAAATGCTATCTGAGTAAATAGTCTGTTTTGGCACAACGTGGCGAATTTGTGATACCTAACTTGATTGCGCAACAGACCTCACTTGGGAACATAAATAACAGATCAATAATTTTATTTATTTATCACTTCTTATCTGAGAAGAATAAATCAGCTGCAATACAAGTTAGTGTTTTTATTAGTGCTATTGTTTACTGCAAATACTGTAAAAACCTGCAAAATACTGTAACGTATATATTCGTATACACTAATAGTAATAACTAGCAAATACCCGTGCTCCGCACGGAGTTGAATGTTTGGCCAAAGTCGACTGTGACATATTGTAAACCGGTAAATATTTGCGGCTGTTTTTTTTGCGGTACTGGTAAAATGTCTTAAAAGATCTAAATTTTACCCTTTTTAAATTTGCGGATATGAAGTCAACCCTTCAGTTTACTCCATAAAAACAGAAAAATTTAAACAGCCAGCTAAAATGAAGACATCCCTTTAGTTTACTCCATAAAAACAGCAAAATTTAAACAGGGTTACAGTAGTAGTAGATTGATATTAGAAGTTGGGTCGGTTATGGGGGTGGTGCTACCTTAGTCCTTTAAAAGATTTCCTTGTAAATGACATTTTGCGTGAGGGTCCTGTTGTTGAAAAGGCCTTGTGATGAATGTTTGTCCACTTTGATGTAGATGTTGGAGTAGCCTCTGGCACGTGAAAAGGCAACATAGCTGGCCATGGGAGAACACAGGGGCTGGGAGGTAGAGTCCGAGTTTGTTGAAACTCTGGCCCTGGGACTTGTTTATAGTCATAGAGTAAGCAAGTCTGATTGAAAATTGAATCCGCTGTAGTGTGAAGGAAATGTTTGCGTCGGATGGAGCAAGTTTAACACGCAGGATGAGGACTCTTTGTGAGACGTGGCTTCGAGTGAGGATTTCGGCATCTAGAATATAGTCGTGGAGGTTCCTAATGTATAGTCTGGTGCCGTTGTAGAATTCTTTAGTTATATCTAGGTTGCGTAATAGCATGATTATTGCTCCTGGTTTTAAAATGAGGCGGTGTGGAGGTATGCCGGTAGGGGTGATGGAGTAAAGGAATTCCATGGAGTAGTTGTTGGCCTCGTTTTCATCATGCGAGATGGCTTTGTCTGTACTGGTGTAGGTTTTGGACAAACCTGGTAGTTTCTTTATGACTTTGTCATTTAGTGTCTCATTGAGAGGTGTGGGTATCACAGAGTTAGACAGTTCTTGAGGAACGGATACATTGGTAAACACAGCATCCACTATGTTGTCCTGCTCGCTGATGATGTTGCACTGGGATGGGATTTCAATAGATGATGGTGGTGCATTAGTCAGCTGGCTGTTGAGTTCGCCGTTGCCGAGTTGTAGGAGCCATTGCGCGTAGTGTTGCTGATTTTTGCGTGTCCTCATATTCTTTGTCAGCTTAACAACTTTAAAGTGTGGCCATAGTATGGAACGTTTGAGGCAGTTTTCAATAATAGTTTGTGATTGCTTTGGGACTACAGGTAACACTTGACGAAAGTCTCCTCCCATGAGGAAGATCTTGCTTCCGAATGGAACATCTATGCCTGGGATGTCTTGTAACATTCTGTCAATTGCTTGGAGGGCATTCGCTGGAACTATTGAGGCCTCATCAACAATGAAGAGCTGAGAAAGCTATCGGGAGACTGAAGAATTTTGGGCGAATATGGGCAAATACAATAGGCATGTATCCGTATCGTTAAAATCAGCGGTTCAATTAGCCCAAAGCTACGAACATATCGAGTGCTTTTAGGGAGGCTCGACGATCGAACACGGCGCCAGCCAATCAGCAGCGTCGTCACGAATTTACTTCAAGGAAACCAGATAATAACGGCTAACGTATGGAAGATAACAGTAAGGGCATAGATAAATGCAATTATGACCTTTTAGTTTAACATAGATAATAATTTCAGATAAAATTTCGTTCCATTAATATACTGATGGGAGCCGATGTGCTAGTCTTAATTTGCACCCATATTGTAATGTACTCGGTAGACAAGCGTGTTGTCGTAAAGCCTGGTTTAATGTTGATAACGGTATGACGTAACAATGTCGTAAACCATGTCGTTAAACGTTACATCTCTCTTTTACAATAAAATAAATAATAATGAAAATCCACAAGTAATGACACAAGTAATGAAATGTACAAGATTCATACCAATACGAATATGAATTTTCCCATTTTACAATATCCAAAATGATCGAATATGAATTTTCCCGTTTTACAAATCAAAGATTTTTGGGTGATCTAGAAACACGACCACTGTGAGTTATCCGCGGTTGATTAACAGTCACTGAAAGTTTATCTGTCGTCCTAACCAGTGGCGGTGATTGGGTTGTCTCATTCTCCTGAATCACTTGGGTTGGAGTTAACTTCGGACCAGCTACTTGCCGATTCGTTATCATAGGGCTGTCCACATCTGTGCTCCCAGTTATTTGGCTCTGAGAGTTTCGTGTTCTGCTGTTAGTTAGGTAGGTAGAGAGGTGAAGGTGTTTTCTGTTTCTTCTGTATTTCCTCCCGTTTTACTCGACTACATATGACCTAGGTGAGTTGTGATGTCCTATGACAGTCGCGGGTAACCAGCGTTTTGCACCTGGATAAGGTGCCATTCTCACTGGGTCTCCTACTAGCACAGGTAGATCCTCGCCTCACACGCCTCTCACTATCGGTAGCTGGAATGTTCGGGACAATATCGTCCGAGACCGCGTGCTCTGCCTCGAGTCCTGGTAAGATCTGATGCATAGCTGAAACCATTAGGGAGCGCGTTGACGATCGGCGATCTTCAGGGGTTGAAGACACGTCCTTCTTTACGTTGTCGTAATTCTCTCGAGCAGATTTGAAATACTTGAAAACTACCACCTGAGAGATTCCTGGTGAGATATCTAAAAGTTGGATCGGGAGCATGATGGATTCTTGATCGGACAATTGGTGCGTATTCAAGGGGTTGGTTGGTTCCATAAAACGATGTCGAAAAGTCAATGCCTGTCGGCGGGAATTCAGCATTCAGGCGAGTCTGAACTTTTGACGGATCCTTTTCGCACAAAACTTCAGTGTTGACTTCTCATACACAGTTCATTTAATGCCTTAAGTATTCGTTTCAATGTTCTCGTACTCACTTTTCCACTGTTTTATCTTTTCATTGTTTTAATTGAAGTTATTCGAACTTCTGACACCATGTAATTCACTCGGTAGACAAGCGTGTAGTCGTAAAGCCTGGTTTAATGTCGATAACGGTATGACGTAACAATGTCGTAAACCATATGTCGTTAAACGTTACACATATGGCGTTCCCACCAGGAAGTCTTTACGTGTATATGTGGTCTGGTATGTGTGTCTGGCTTCTAAACAGTAGTAATCTTCTACGAGAATCCAACAATTTAGGAGTTGGCACTCATATCTGTGTGTTTGTACGTCCTGTCTACCGTTTGTGTTTTATGTCTGTATGTCCTAAACTTTATTTCCAGAACTGTACAAACGTACTTTTGTCTAAACAGCATCAAATATTATACGTCACGTTATACCCAGTGCCCATCAATGCTATCCCTAGTTCAACAGCATTATTACAGATTACCTTACTAAACAGAACAGTAATAAAATGGCTCAGTTAAACATACAATCTCTAAATACTACAGGCCTAGCAAATCCAATTAAACGTAGGGACTTTTTCCAAACGATTTCGGGAACAAAATGTGCACATATGCTGTCTACAAGATATTCATATTGACTCCAAATTTGTAAATTGGGTAAAGGCAGAATGGGGTTTAAGCACAATTATATGTCCATTCACATCAAACGCGAGAGGCGTGGCAGTTCTATTTAATACTGGTTTTGAATACAAAATACACAGATGTGAAATGGAACCTTATGGAAATTTGATTATCCTAGATATTACCTTATCAAACCAAGTGCAGTTTACATTGGGGAAGCTGTATGGACCAAATGATGACAACCCTGAATTTTATACAAATATATTTTGAAGATTATTGAAGATTTTGGTAACGTAAATTACATCCTATGCGGAGATTGGAACTTAGTTATAGATTCGGAAAAAGACTTTTTTAACTATAAAGCGGGTTAATAACCCCAGAGCACATAACCTTGTTTTGTCAGGTATGGCAGAGAAGGGTATAGTAGACATATGGAGATAGTTGGGTCCAGAACCTCAATCCCGTGACCATTCTCTGGCTAACATGTTTTGACGATTGATTTGACTTCTATGGACGTTTTATAAAAAATTTAGAAACCCGGCCCCTCCAAAAAATGCTGGCATTTTTTGCTAGGGGGCCAAATCCAAAATTGCCGCCGACGCCATTTTTAAAAATCAACTTTTGAACCAGAGCAGCTAGAATCAAGTATAAATACACTTTTTCAACTAAATCAACCACGAGGATTCCGATTCTGACATCAATTTGATGCTAAAACATCATTTTGACCAAACTATCCAAGACGACCCCCAGCACCATCTTGAAAAATTAACTTTTGAACCAGGGCACCTAGATTCAGCTATAAATACACTTTTCTCCACTAAATCAACCATGAGGAATCCGAATCTGACATCACTTTTACGTTTTAATATCATTTTGACCAAGATATCCAAGATGGCTACCATACGCTGGAGTGTAACGTAACAACAAACTAATTACATATAACATAATCTATTTTTTAATAGTTGTAACGTTTATCAAATGAAGTTATGTATAAACTGTATAAACAATACTGAACATAAAACTTTCATATTTCACCATACTAGCACTATTATTAAAACACATTTAAACGTCACCAATAGGCAATACAATAATGTTCTGTAACTTAGTATTTGAATCAAAGAGGTAAGATCAATTTGAATCGGAGTTTTCTGCCACACTATGTTCGGAAGCCTCAGATTCTGACGATTCATTGTCTCCCTCATCATGAGAATCGTTCTCATCGTCTTCGCTGTCTTCAGCTTGTCCTGGTGCAGGTAAGTTCACTGGGAGAGCAGGTCGTGTGTGACGAACAGGGCGACAGCGACCACACACCAACTCCCAGCCATGACCGAGTGGAGAAGGGTGGTTCTTCAGGGAATAGTGGCGCACTAAGTACGCCAGGTAGTTGGCGCGGAGACAGTGTTGTCGGAGACTATCCTCATCTGGAGGAAGACGTATAAAGGATTTCTTCTTCATACTCTTCCACTTCACAGCGCGAGCCTCAGCCATGGAAGTACTCTTCTTGTCGCCATAGACGACATCGCGTGTGAACTGTTGAAGTGGAAGAGTTCTTCTATCACGTCCTCCTCCATGGCAGATATCTCCGCACGCTGAGAGCTGCCATCGCGCCACAGGCTCTTCGCCACCCTGGACTACAGGGACATCTTACCCTTGCCGTAGAAGCCTGAGTTTGCATCACAACCTGTCATGCAGTGCAGCTGCACAATACAATCTGCCATCTCGTCAGTCACCAGGCCATGACAGGAGACCATACCCTCCTTTCTCTTGATACAAAGGATACCGGGCAGCTGCTGCGAGATTACTGCTGCTGAGACATAGGCATCGGTATCAGCTGCATCAATAACAACAGGGTCATTGCAACCTGACTCGCGCAGAAGTGCGTAAGTGGAGAATAGTATAGTGTCAGCCTCAGACTGATCAAAGCTGTAGTTCTGCATTGGTTGTTGGGTTGACAAGTTAGTGCAGTGGGAGCCAACAGAGTAGACAATCTCTGGTTCAACAGTCTGTGCAAAGTCGGTCAGGTAGCTGCATATCATTGCTTGTAGCCGCCTCTTGTTGCTACTGCTACAAAGCAGCGTCTTGAATGCTCCAGCAGAGGGGAAAGGATCGCCCAATTTCATGTAAGTGTTGGGGACATGTGCCTTACCCTGCACCCTCAGGTCTCGCTCGTCATCTTTAGTTGAGTATGCTGTGTCATACGGGTCGTTCACACAGATGATACGTTTAGCCTCTCCATGTCGGGAAAGGATAATGGATGCCAGCTTGTGGACATAGTCCGACCACTTGTATGTTGTACCATCGTGGGTTTGTCGGTCTTCTGCTGATGGAGTCGCCATTCTCCAGATCATTCCAATGTCGACGATAGCGATATGTAGGTTCTTGTAGATCGACTATTCAGAGAGAATTCTTTGATGAGCTTACTCTTCTGGGTCTTCGCGTATGTGCCATTGCAGTTAAATAATGCCACACATTCTCATTCAGAACACAACTAATGATTCATAGAAATAGGCGAAACTTCCCAGTGGAGCCTTCCACAGAGCATTATGACGTCTCGACAGGTTCCAACCAGACTGCTATGCATCAATCTGGACCTTGAATGCCGGTCACCGCTCCATCTCCCATGGCTGTTGCGCTCTCGAAGTCAGGTAGACTACCTCCCTGCGAGCTATCCCGAGTTTGCGATCAGATATCAGAATATACGAGATAGGTGTATCATCAGCACCAGCTATGTTATGTACCGTGGATATAGTCATAGAACTTCGTCAATATATATAAGAAGACGCGTGGGACTGACTATTAACTAACCCTAACGATAATGCACACTCCCGGCGGAATTGCTCGGAATTGTCTCGCTCACATTGAGAAACCGAACGTCTAATGTGACTAAGCCCAGTGTCACGATCTTGCGCTACCTTAGAGGGACTGATGCATGGATTGAGTTGTGTACCTGCTCGTAGAGACCCAATATTCCTTACTGAAAAGACCCCCGCTCGTACGCAAGAAGCGGAAAGTTAATTTAATCTCGCTCCTGATAGCAACAAAGCGGCTTGAGTTGAAGTCTGCAATGAGGTCATCGCCGTTGCAGGCAATGGCTGACTGTAAGTGTGGAGAGGGATGGTGATGATGGGTCAACGTGGAAGGAGTCAAACTTCTGGTATGCACGCAACTCAGGTCGCTGCCGCGATCGATCAAAACTACCTAATCTCGATAAACACATATATTTCGGGCGCCGCATTCACATGCCTTACCTCGCTACTCTATGCTGGTTATCTCGGTTGCCCAAAAATAGCAAAGGACGATTGACATAGAGCTGCCGGATCTTGGCTACATTGTTCACAATATTTCTGGAATCCGATCGCAACAGCAGCTTGCATTTGCTAAACCATTCTGAGGCATGGAGAGCCAAGCCCAGATTTCATTTTGCTGCCCTTGTTCATGCGGTGCACTCGCATCCACATGCCTC